ACGACGCCAGGACAGCGGAGTCACTCACCACCTTCCGGAGACATTTGAAACCCCACCTCTTTAAGGAATACCTGGGATAGGATAAAGTAATCCTTCTACCCCTCCCTTTTTTTGAAATAATGTTTAAAAAATGTATAATCTTCGTAAATGATATCATAGGTAGGACTGGTGGAGTTATGTCGCACATGCAGCTAACAAAAACATATGGAAATGTCTGCTCTACCCAAAATTACAACCAAATAATTGCAGCATTACCGCAAAAATGGAAGAGGAAAGTGGAAGGGGGGAAAAGTAAGGAATTTGTCTGTCGGCCCTGCATTAAAGAACATAATTGGTTAAAGAATATTGTGATAAATAAAAAAGTATATCAGTTTCATTTAAGGACCAAATGATTGACAGCCGTCCCAAATAGATTGCAAAATAGTTGGGAAGAGATTTTTGATGTACCGATTCCATGGCATAGTGTTTATGAACTGATACGCAAAACGACGCCGGATTCAAAACTTAGAATTTCTCCATTTAAATTATTATACAAAATTCTTGCTACCAATATAATGTTATTTATATGGGGGATACAATCTTCCCAGCTCTGCAGATTTTGCTGCGAAGAGACAGAATCATTAGATCATTTGTTTTGGTACTGTCCATTTGTAGCTTGTTTTTGGTCACAGGTCCAAGAATGGCTAAAGGATTACAATATTTACCTGGAGCTAACCCTGCAGATAGCACTACTGGGTGATCTGAAAAGTCATAGTCAATCGATCAATAATATAATAATACTTTTAGCAAAAATGTTTATTTTCAATTTACAACTGACCACCTTCCGGAGACACTTGAAACCCTACCTCTTTAAGGAATACCTGGAATAGTATAACAGTAATCCTTCTACCCACCACCCCCCCCCCCCCCCCCCCCCCCCCACATAACAAAAAACAAAAAAGTGGTTGGCCTGCTTCATTTTCCTGGGCTTAGTTGAAAAATGTCTGTATAGAAAGTCAAGAGACTGAACACATCAGAAAAGGAAATAAAGTTACGTTTTATTGACCTCATTACATCTTCCCCCGTAAAAATTACTGAGAATAAAAAACATTACCACAATCATCATTCCAGTACAATGTAATATTCTATAATATATGCCATTTAGCAGACACTTTTATCCAAAGCGACTTACAGTGATGCGTGCATACATTTTACGTGGTCCCGGTAATCAAACCCACAATCCTGACAGTGCAAGCGCCATGCTTTACCAACTGAGCCATACAGTACCATCCTCCGAGTATTTTTATTTCTCGTCACAGGCAAAAAACGTATACGAAACCGTTTTCCGACAATACTTTCACACAGTAACCTTACATACCGTAGATAAAATCGTATAATAAATTACTTCAGGAACTCTTTTCCACAGTTTCAAATAGTTCAATTTTAATCCATAAAAAAGTGGTGTTTCGTTTCAGAACACTAAGTGGCAGTATTGTACCAACAGAGCAGGCTTTTCCGAGGCCAACTGATATTCGTTTTTTTCAATCACTTTGGTGCAATTTTCACAAGTATGTGGGACATTTTCACAACGCTTAGTACAAACTCAAAACAGTACAAACTCAAAACAGATTATCAAAAAGGCAGTTGTTTCAAAACTCTAAGCACATTTTCAATTGACTAAGTACAACACACAAAATCATTTAGTCACTTTTTCACCAAACTAAATCAGTGTTTCATCTTAGGAATACGTTACCTATTGCAATACATGTTCATATAAAGTAATTCCTTTTCACAATGCAATGCACACATTACTTTTGATATGATTGCCTTCTCATTTGATAAAATACATTTTACTATTACTTAATCTGACTGCTCTTAATTGAAAATAACTTAACCGTTTGGTAAACTGATAGATTCTATACTGGTTTGTCTACAACAGATTTTGAGAACTACATCATGGAAATGTATGTTTGTGATATATACTGTAATGATATGAAATACTGTAATGTACTATTATGATGATGACTATTATGATAAAAAAATTGGATATTGACAAGTTCAGAGATCTGCTGTATGTAATAAATTCCCCTATACATGTACCTAAAATGAAGTCACTGGTGTCTTTTTGTGGGGAGGTTTCACACTGCCTTACTAAAATTGCATTGGCCAATACAGTACTGTTATTCCATAATATATGACATTTACGTAGCAGACGTTTTTATCCAAAGCGACTACAATACAGTAAAATACAATACATGATTACAAAACAGGTGGAAGGTGTATGATCACCATCCCTATGAGTGTGCCACCCTACTCCATGCCATGGATGAGGCATGCAATGACATCAATCCAGACCTATGTTAGGCTTGGATTCACCATGCCAAAAGGTTTTTCCCCACGTGGATGAACAATGAGGACATTTACTGGGATGTCAAGGAGAACCTATGGCCAAATGCTCAAGACAGGCTTGATGCAAACTAGTCCCTGTTAAATGTTATGTTCATTTCATTAATTTCATTTGTTTAATTTGATTACAGTACACCTATGTTGTAATTGTATCTGAACAATATATTTATTTTTTGCATCAATGATTTTGAAAGATGTCTTCAGTGATCACACCTTTGATCACACGTTGGATAGAAATTATGGAAATTAGATTTTCAGTCAATTGTGATGGGTAGTGCAAGTGTATTACCTAATGTTAAAACAGTGTAACATACTGTAATTTACAGTACCGTAGCATATTACATTCGAAGGGAAATGTTGTGCCATGTATCTTGCATATTTTGCTATTGAATTAACTGGTTGTTAAAACAACTAAATTGAGAAGATATCATTATGTTGTGTTTTGGTGATTAAATCAATGTTATCATAGTATTTCACAGTAAGCTTAGATTTTGGATCATTGGTTGTGTGGTGAAAGATGTCTCGAAAGAAAATGAATGCACAGTAAAAGGTTTTGAATATTAGACTTACAGCGTTATACAGTGAGGGAAAAAAGTATTTGATCCCCTGCTGATTTTGTACGTTTGCCCACTGACAAAGAAATGATCAGTCTATAAATTTAATGGTAGGTTTATTTGAACAGTGAGAGACAGAATAACAACAACAAAAATCCAGAAAAAATGCATGTCAAAAATGTTATACATTTATTTGCATTTCAATGAGGGAAATAAGTATTTGACCCCCTCTCAATCAGAAAGATTTCTGGCTCCCAGGTGTCATTTATACAGGTAATGACCTGAGATTAGGAGCACACTCTTAAAGGGAATGCTCCTAATCTCATCTTGTTACCTGTAGAAAAGACACCTGTCCACAGAAGCAATCAATCAACCAGATTCCAAACTTTCCACCATGGCCAAGACCAAAGAGCTCTCCAAGGATGTCAGGGACAGGATTGTAGACCTACTCAAGGCTGGAATGGGCTACAAGACCATCGCCAAGCAGCTTGGTGAGAAGGTGACAACAGTTGGTGCGATTATTTGCAAATGGAAGAAACACAAAAGAACTGTCAATCTCCCTCGGCCTGGGGCTCCATGCAAGATCTCACCTCGTGGAGTTGCAATGATCATGAGAACGGTGAGGAATCAGCCCAGAACTACACGGGAGGATCTTGTCAATGATCTCAAGGCAGCTGGGACCATAGTCACCAAGAAAACAATTGGTAACACACTACGCCGTGAAGGACTGAAATCCTGCAGCGCCCGCAAGGTCCCCCTGCTCAAGAAAGCACATATACATGCCCGTCTGAAGTTTGCCAATGAACATCTGAATGATTCAGAGGAGAACTGGGTGAAAGTGTTTTGGTCAGATGAGACCAAAATCAAGCTCTTTGGCATCAACTCAACTCGCCATGTTTGGAGGAGGAGGAATGCTGCCTATGACCCCAAGAACACCATCCCCACCTTCAAACATGGAGGTGGAAACATTATGCTTTGGGGGTGTTTTTCTGCTAAGGGGACAGGACAACTTCACCGCATCAAAGGGACGATGGACGGGGCCATGTACTGTCTTATCTTGGTTGAGAACCTCCTTCCCTCAGCCAGGGCATTGAAAATGGGTATTCCAGCATGACAATGACCCAAAACACACGGCCAAGGCAACAAAGGAGTGGCTCAAGAAGAAGCACATTAAGGTCCTGGAGTGGCCTAGCCAGTCTCCAGACCTTAATCCCATAGAAAATCTGTGGAGGGAGCTGAAGGTTCGAGTTGCCAAACGTCAGCCTCGAAACCTTAATGACTTGGAGAAGATCTGCAAAGAGGAGTGGGACAAAATCCCTCCTGAGATGTGTGCAAACCTGGTGGCCAACTACAAGAAACGTCTGACCTCTGTGATTGCCAACAAGGGTTTTGCCACCAAGTACTAAGTCATGTTTTGCAGAGGGGTCAAATACTTATTTCCCTCATTAAAATGCTAATCAATTTATAACATTTTTGACATGCGTTTTTCTGGATTTTTTTGTTGTTATTCTGACTCTCACTGTTCAAATAAACCTACCATTAAAATTATAGACTGATAATTTCTTTGTCAGTGGGCAAACGTACAAAATCAGCAGGGGATCAAATACTTTTTTCCCTCAATGTATGTGTTACCACTTTGGAGTTTTGTACTAAGATTTTAGAAAATTCACCACATACTTGTGAAAATAGCACCAAAGCGATTGAAAAATACTGTATCAAGAAATCAAGATGTAGGGGTTGACCCACCTGAATCAGAGATATAATATTTCAAAGAGTAAATAAGAGACAATATATTCAAACTGCTTGTTAAACAACAGCCATTATAAACACCCAAAATATGAAACAGCAGTACAATCTGAATGTCTCCATTTTCATATCAAACAGTGCTCCTCCAAAAAAATACATTTTTAATATTGAGCATTTATTCACTTTTTTCCTGTTTTTGTCGCGGACCCATTGAATTGAATTGAAATTGCTGAGGCCTTATAGGGTTTCCCGGCCCCCCTGTTTGAGAATTGCAACAGCTGAGTACGCCAAATGAAGAGCCAGCCGTCTAGCTCACTTTGCATAGCCTCTTGGCCTGATCATCATTCTGACAGTCATGAAAGATTGTCTGTCATTTGTTGGGTAGTACTCTGTAGATATGTTATGCCACGTCCCCCAGTAGATCCCGTTCCGCACCCCTTTGTACTTTCCCACATAATATCTCCCATTGAGATTGGCAGCCATGCAGGCATCAAACCACCAGCCTGAGCCATAGTAGGCCCCACAGTTCCCTGAAGGGTAGCGGTCATAGTCCCTGTCAGGAGTCGTAAAGAACCTGTTGTTGTGGTCGTAACTCTTGCTGAATTGAAGTGCATCTCCCGCCGTGCCCGAGTACCCACCCACAGACAGGCGGTACCGCAGCCGCTCGCCAGCCACACGGAAGAGCCTGTACTCTGCGTACTCCCTCGCTCTGTTAAAGTCCTCCAGCTCCACCCTGAGGACCATCTCCCTGTGTCGAGTCAGGAGGTGGATGTGGTCGTTGCCCAGCCAGAACTCCCCAGCCCTCAGGTTACCGAAGCCCGTCCGGTATTCAGCCCAGGTCCGATTGAAGTTCACACTGCCGTCCTGACGGAGCTGAATGACGGTCCACCCTCCGCCATGAGACTCCATGTCACAGAACACTGCGATGGTTCCGTTCTTAGGGTCAGGGGTCACTTGGTAGACCCCGCTGTTCCTCTCCCCCTTGGCCATGTGGTCAGAGCAGTCTCTGGGTGCCATGGTAACTGTTGAGTGGAAGGAAAGTGGAATGAGAAAATAAGATTAGAGTAGTCTGTCATCCTTTCTGACAAAAAGGTGCCTTGGCGTGTAACACAAACAGAAATGTTCTTACTGTAGGCCTACAGAGACTAACCTGGTTCATTTCCTCCAGTCAATGACCAAAAGCGCCCTCTTTGGCCTCATGGGTGGAACGTTATTAATATTTAAAAAACTAGATGAAAATGCTGTGTTTCTATGTCAAACAGTTTTGTTGTATTTCAGTCTTCTGTGATGTATATAAAGTGTAATATTGGGATGCAAACTCAAAATGGAATACATTTCAACTCTATATCTGACATGGTACAGGCATCTTCTTTTTTTTAAGCCCATAACCTTGTGTGTGAGGTGTATACTTTCGTTTAAACGTAGATTTGTTTAAGACTACAAATAATCACTCTGTATGACCCTGATTTAGCCCACTGCAGTAAAATGTTGAATAAATGAAAACATTTAATATTTCGCACATTTGAAACTATACACACAAGACTAGAATAGGATTGTATCATGCTGAAATAGTTAGGATTTCTCTGTCACCATAAATTACAAGTCTAGGAATCAGGCATGTCCCTTGGACTTGTTAAGAGAACAAACCTACAGATTTAAGTTAAATGTCAATTATAGTTGTTAAGTCTGTAAGAAATCAGGTGATTGGCTTAAAGTGGCCTCGTACATTAACAGAAGCTAGCATTAGCTTTGTGTGACACTTCATGCATTATTTGATAGATGTGCCACTCAGCACTAACAATGTGTGTTTAAGCTGACTATGACCTCAAAGGACGCTCTGCACAGCTGTCCCTTGATCCCTACTTAAGCCACACACACTCACAGACACGCACATGCTCATACATATAAAGATGATGATCTCAAACCTTCGCCACATTGTAATTGGCTCATTAAACATCACCTTAGGTCGCTTGGACTTTAAAGTTAAACATTTTATTTTTTCAAGAACAACATTGTTCAATATATTTTACAGTCACAATTTCCATTGTTATCTGCCATAACTTAGCCTACACTCTTTTTCTCTTTCTCCAACCTAATTTTCACTGGGCTTTGAAGGGTCAACCAGGAAGAACAAAATGGTAAACAAGGAAAACACCATTAATATTTAACAGCCCTTGTTGTTCAAAAGGTATTGAATACCTTTGCAATGATTGTCAATAAAAGTTTATAATTTCTCTTAACTGCTGAGAATAGGAATAGGGTTTTTGTATACAGTATTCTGAATTTGTAATCGCCATATCTGTATAGCACGATTCTATAAAGTTTACAAAAAAATGTAATCAAACTATGAATAAGTCAACACATTTGGTATCTACTATAGCCTACCTGGTAACAAATGGTACATAATATGGCTTGATTCAGTGAACCCTTAAGAAAGTTTGAGTTTGAGTTTATTTTTATTTTTACAGGGACAGTGCACATTAATCAAAGTTAAGTTCAATCTAAACTGTATGTAATTATCAATTACAATGTAATTATCATAATTCCATTTAAATAGCAGACAATAGCAGGTAAAGTAAAATCGATTTATCTTACCTCCTGATGAAGTCTGTGCAAGGCTTTGAGGCTGGTTCCCTGTTCTGTCAGTCTTGCTGCCTACCTGGTCCTTCTCCATGAGCAGGTTTAGCCCAGGACGGACCTTTGGGTGCCCTCTTTGTAAAACCTTTGGCCCCCCACTTGTGTCCTTTGTGTCATTCAGACTAGCAGATACCCGGCTGGTCTTCACACGAAGTTCTCTCACACTGGGGGTGGAAGACCCAGGTATGGGGCTGGGGGTAGTGGACTCAGGGTTGGTGGTAGTAGGACTATGGGTAGAGTTGGCCAATGGAATGGGTTTAGTAGTGGTAGTTTTGGGGCTACGGCTTATGCTAGTCTGTTGGCTTGAGCTGGTCTTACATTTTAGACTGGCGAACGTGGTGGTCATTGTGCCAGGGCTAATGGTTGTTTTCCAGCTAGTGTTAAATATGTTTTTTGAGCTAGAGCTGAGGGTAGTTTGTTGGTTAGGTCTTGTAGTTCTTGAGCCAGGGCTTGTGGTCATTTGTGGGCTGGGGTCAGTCATGGTCCTTTGGCTTGAGCTAGTAGATGTCTTGGTGCTAGGTGTGGGGGAAGTGGTCCTTCGACCTTGGGTGGTGGTTTTGGGCCAGAGCTTTGGAGCAGTTCTGGGCTTCAGGACAGGTTTAAGCTTTGGTCCAGGTCTTGGACCTGGAATAGGCCTTGGGCCTGGTTTGGGCTTTTGGTCTGGTTTGGGTTTTAGCCTGGGTTTGGGCTTAATGCTAAGTCTGGGGATTGTTGAGCTGGGTTCAGGATGTTGTGCAGACTTTGTCTCAGGACTTATGCTGGTACTGGTGGTCCTTGAGCTGAGGCTAGTGAAGCTGGTCATTGAGCTGGGGCTAGTGGTGGTTTTTGTTGCTGGAGTATGGCTTAGTGTGATGATACTTGAGCTGAAAGAGCCTGACCGGATCCTTGAACTGGTGATCTTTGAGCTAGAGCTAGTGGTGGTTGTGATTGCTGGAGATTGACTTGGTGTGGTTCTGCTGAGACTGCCTGGACTGGGGGTAAAGCTAATCCCAGGGCTGGAGCTGGTAGTCCTGGAGCTTGGACTGGTGGTCTTTGGGCTAAGGTTAGAGGTGGTGGCTGGAGTTGAACCAGTTCTGGGATTGGTCTCTGGAATGGAGCTGGAGGAGCCAGTTGGTCTTGATGGTCTGAGCTTCAGGACAGGCTTTGGTTTTGGTCCAGGTTTGGGTCTGGGGCCTGGAATAGGCCTTGTGCCTGGTTTTGGCTTTAGGCCAGGTCTGGGGGTCCACCAGGACCTAATTCTGGAGCTTGGACTGGTGGTCCTTTGGCTAGGTCTAGCGGTGGTTGTAGTTCCTGGAGTTGGGCTACTGCTAGTGCTGGCCCCAGGGCTGGAACTAGTGGTCCTGTAGCTTGAGCTGGTAATCTTTGAGCTAGGACTTGTGGTGGTGGCTGAAGAGTGTCCCGGCATGGTGCTGATTTGGCTGGTATTTGTCTTAGTGGACTGTAGACTGGGTCTTGTAAAGCTGATCCCAGGGCTAAGACTACAGGTGGTGGTTGAAGTTGAGCCAGTTCTGAGAGTGATCTTAGAGTTGAAGCTGGAGGAGCTGGTTGGGTTGGGTGGGCTTGTCTTTAGGACAGGCTTTTGTTTTGGTCCAGGTTTAGGTCTTAGGGCTGGAATAGGCTTTTGGCCTGGTTTAGTCCTTGTCCATGCAGGGCTGGAGCTGATGGTGGTGGTCCATGAGCTGAGGCTAGTGAAGCTGGTCGTTGAACTGGAGGAGCTAGTCGAGCTGGGTGGTCTGGGCTTAAGTCTGGGTCTGATGGCCTGGTTAGCTTGGTTGGGCTTGTGCTTCTGGACAGGTCTGTTTCTTGGGCTAGTAGTCATTTTTGATGAGCTGATGGTTGTTTGGTTTGCGCTTGTTGTGATACTTGGGCTGGTTCTGGCAGTCCTGTAGCTGGTGCCTGAACTTGGGGTTGTGATGGGGTCAGACCTGGTGGCTCCCTGGCGAGGTAAAGAGGAGATGGTCCTTTGACTGGAGCTTGTGTTAAGGCTTGAGCTTGTTCTTGTGCTGGAGATGGAAGAAGATCTGGGGCTAGAGGTTGAGCTGGAGGAAGGACTTGGAATATATCCACGGCTGGTGTCTGAGCTAGATCCTGGGCTGGGATTGGTGCCAGGTCCTGAGATGGAGTTGGATGTTTGGTCTGGTCCTGAGGAGTCAGGTCTGGGGATTGAGTCATGTTTAAAACCAGTGCTTGGGCTAGGTGAGGCCGTGTCCTGATCATCACTTGACCCATCTGTCATCACCGCCCCTATGCTTTCGCTCTGCACACTTTGGACTGTTTTTTCTACCTCTTTCTCTATCTTCTTCCTTGTCTCTTCTCGATCACTCTCTTTCTTTTCTTCTATTTGTCCATTGCTCTGGGTTTGCTTCTCTCTCTTTTTCTCCTTCTGCCATTCTTTCTCTCCTTGGGTCTTTTTCTCCTTATTTTTCTCCTTCCCTTGCCAAGGATGTTGACTCTTCCTCTCCTTCTCTATCTTCCCCTCCTCTCCCTCTCTGTCACCACCGGATGTTCTTCCTTCTCCTGGATGTCTTCTCTATTTCCCCTCCCTCTCTCCTCCTCTTTCTCTCTACCCCCCTCACACATTTTCTCAGTCTCCAGCTCCTTCTTCCTTACCTTATCCCCCTGACTCTCCTTCTCAGTTTGCATCTTTGTTTCCCATAACCTCTCTCTTTCATTTTCACTCCCCCTGTCTTTCTCTATCTCACCTCCTCTCCCCCTCTCCCCTTCTAAAATTCTCTCTTTCTCCATCTCTGTCTCCCTTCCCTCCTCTTCCTCTCTCTTGGTCTCGTCCTTTATTTTTCTCTCCCTCACTATCTCCCATTGCCTGTTTCCCTCCCTATCGCTCTCCTTTTCCCTTTCCCACTCGCTCTCACACCCTTTCTCCCGTTCTCTCTTTCTCTCCTCTACAATATTTATCTCATTTTCCATGGCCCTTTCTTCCACTCCGTCTCTCTCTTCCACAATTTTTCTCTCCCTTGCCCCCTCTCCCTCCTCCTCCATCTCCATCTTCCTTTCTCTGTCCCCTTGTCTCTCCGTCTTCTTCTCCCCCTCCTTCTCCCCCTCTTTCTCATTCTCCCTCTCTCTGTCTCCCAATCTCACCTTCTCATTCTCTTCTTTCTCCTTCTCCCTCTTTCTGTCCCCCAATCTCTCTCGCTCCCTCTCCCTCTGGCTCATCTTGCACTCCATGCAGGCTCTCTTCAGCTGCTCCACAGTCTCCTTTAGCCTTTGCACCTCCTTCACCGTCCTCTCCAACTCCCTGAGCTGCCAGGGCAGCATGATGTCCAGCGGTGGCAGGATAAATCGGTAGGGGCATGCGTCCTCTTCTATCCCCTCTCCCCCACACTTCCCTGCAGGCTTTAGAGTTACCAGGCAGCTCCCAGATTCTGTACCCCACTGGAAGGTTCCCTCGCTGGGGTTTGCATAGTTCCCAGGGGTCATGGAGATGGCCAGCAGGGTTCCGCACATGCAAAGCACAGCTAACCTCATCGCTATCCTGAGTTAGAAGAATGATGAGAGAAGAGAGGGTGAGAGGGTGAAAGACCCACCTCGGTGTGTGGGAAGCTGTGACAGAGAGAGGGAGGGAGGAAAGGAGGGGAAGAAGGAGGAGGGGGCTGAGGGACTTCTTAAGAGTGGTGTCTGCATGTGTGAGAGGGATGGAGAAAGAGAGAGAGAGAAAAAAGGAATGGACATCAGGGATAAATAATTGGGCGTCCACTTCAAGGGGGTATCCATGTCTGTGAGAGAGACAGGAAAAGAGAAGGGAAAGAGAGAGAATTGGGGGATTAAAGTAGTCTTTGGTTGCTTCAGCATGTCACTAAAAGAGTTAACAGGTACAGAGCTAAATCGGTCCTAAATAGAACAAGGCACGGAAAAGCTTCAAAAGTGAAAGGCATTATTACAGCATATTGTAATCCTATTATTCTTTTCCACATTGTCTTTAACCTAATCAAAACATCTAATGAGGGCCATTCGCAATGCATTCTCACTCCATGCTGTAATGATAAGCACACATTGTTTTCTCTCCTTGTATATCACTACCGTGAATATGCATGTGTGTGACAGCTGCTTTAGCAGGCATTTACCCATGCTTCCTGACAATAGGGCCGACACACATGTGAATGACAGATGAGACAGGTCCAAATATGCATTTGAAGCACAACTTCGTCAGACCCTGGGCTGTAGACAAATGTTTGTTGCATTACTGTTCATACACACTGTATCTCATATCTTTCTGGCTTGGGTTCTTTCTGGCTTCGGTTCTCTCTGGCTTCAAAGGCATAACAGGCAAGAATTTATCTTCACATATTTATCTCAGAGGGTTTGTGGTTGCTAAATACAGTGTATGGGTAATGAATTGTCTTAGTTAGAGATGTGGGTTGTAGGCCATTTATACACATTCTATTCATGGAAATAAAATATTTTTACTGCCTTTGGAATGTGAAACAGAATACTGTACTGTTTAAAAATTATCATTGAAAAACAATACAATTTGGGCCGGTTTCCTCATCCCAGATTAAGCCTATTTTGGAAGATTCAACATTGAGCTTTTTAGTCCAGGAGTAGGTTTCACCTGGATCTGAGAGACCGGCCCGTTCGGTAGAGTTTCACCATATTTAAAGTCCCCTGGTGACAACACAACAATTACTTTGTATCTCCCTCTCTGCTCTCACTGACCTCTGCTCTGCTATTTGATGCTGGAGAGTATGCTTCTCATATGTGTTTCAGCAAAGACAACCAGAAGTTGTATTTTCCTTTTGTTTGACAGGGTGTGGAGAGAGAAAGTGAGGGATGGAGGGAAAAGAGCAGGAGCATCTAAGGATATCACAGGCTCATGGGTCAAATAATAGTGATGCATTAATGTCTTAAAAAACATCATTTTTTGGTGGTGTCACTGTGTCTTGCCATGTCATCAACTTCCAATCCTATTTATCACTTATTATAGTGATTGAATGCAACAAAAGGATTTGAACCATTGCACTACAGCACACTCCTTCCTGCAGTGGTGTAAAATACTTAAGTCAAAATATTTTAAAGTACTACTTAAGTAGTTTTTTTGGGTATCTGTACTTTACTATTTATATTTTTGACAACTTTTACTTTTACTACATTCCTAAAGAAAATAATGTACTTTTTACTCCATACATTTTCCCTGACACCCAAAAGTACTTGTTACATTTCGAATGCTTAGCAGGACAGGAAAATGATCCAATTCACGCACTAGGAGAACATCCCTGGTCATTCCTACTGCCTCTGATCACTAAACACATATGCTTCGTTTGTAAATTATGTCTGAGTGTTGGAGTGTGCCCTTAGCTATACGTAAATAAAACAAAAGCAAGAACATGGTGCCGTCTGGTTTGCTTAATGTAAGGAATTTGAAATTATTTATACTTTTACTTTTGATACTTAAGTATATTTTAACAATAACATTTACTTTCGATACTTACATTACCAGTCAAAAGTTTGGACACTGTCACGATCGTCAAGCATAGAGGAGGACCAAGGCGCAGCGTGTGCAAAATACATCTCTTTAATATTGGAAGAGAGAAAAACACGAAACCGAACACTATCCAAAACTTACAAAACAACAAACGACCGTGAAGCTAAATAACGTAAGTGCACAGATAAGCAACAAACGTTCAACATAGACAATTACCCACAAACATATGATGCCCATGGCTGCCTTAAATATGGCTCCCAATTAGAGACAATAAACCACAGCTGTCTCCAATTGAGAACCAATCTAGGCAGCCATCAACATACAAACACCTAGACCAGACATACCCCATAAACTTACAAACCCCTAGACAAACCAAAACACATACTACACCATGTCACACCCTGACCTAACTAAAATATAAATGAAACAAAGATAACTAAGGCCAGGATGTGACATAACCCCCCCCCTTAAGGTGCGAACTCCGGGCGCACCAGCATAAAGTCTAGGGGAGGGTCTGGGTGGGCGTCTGTCCACGGTGGCGGCTCTGGCACTGGTCGTGGTCCCCACCCCACCATAGTCACTACCCGCTTACGTAGCCTCCTCCAAATGACCACCCTCCAACTTAACCCACCAGGATTAAGGGGCAGCACCGGACTAAGAGGCAGCACCGGACTAAGGGGCAGCACCGGACTAAGGGACAGCACCAGGATAAGGGGCAGCACCGGGCGAAGGGGCAGCACCGGACTCAATGGCGGATCCTGGCTGGACGGCTCTGGCGGATCCTGGCTGGACGGCTCTGGCGGATCCTGGCTGGACGGCTCATGGCTGGCTGACGGATCTGGCTGCTCATGGCTGGCTGACGGATCTGGCTGCTCATGGCTGGCTGACGGATCTGGCTGCTCATGGCTGGCCGACGGATCTGGCTGCTCATGGCTGGCTGAAGGATCTGGCTGCTCATGGCTGGCTGACGGATCTGGCTGCTCATGGCTGGCTGACGGATCTGGCTGCTCATGGCTGGCGGAAGGCTCTGGCTGATCCTGTCTGGCGGAAGGTTCTGGCTGATCCTGTCTGGCGGAAGGCTCTGGCTGATCCTGTCTGGCGGAAGGCTCTGGCTGATCCTGTCTGGCGGAAGGCTCTAGCGGCTCCTGTCTGGCGGACGGCTCTAAAGGCTCATGGCAGACGGGCGGCTTAGCAGGCTCAGTACAGACGGGCAGTGCAGGCGCCGTTAGGCAGACGGCAGACTCTGGCCGGCCGAGACGCACATAAGGCCTAGTGCGTGGTGCCGGAACTGGAGGTACCGGGCTGAGGACACGCATCTCAGGTCTAGTGCGGGGAGAAGGAACAGGGCATGCTGGACCCTGGGGACGCACATAAGGCCTAGTGCGTGGTGCCGGAACTGGTGGTCCCGGGCTGAGGACACGCATCTCAGGGCTAGTGCGGGGAGCAGCAACAGGGCATGCTGGACCCTGGGGACGCACATAAGGCCTAGTGCGTGGTGCCGGAACTGGTGGTCCCGGGCTGAGGACACGCATCTCAGGGCTAGTGCGGGGAGCAGCAACAGGCCGGGCCGGGCTGGCGACGCACACCGTAGGCTTCGTACGTGGCGCAGGAACAGGCCGGGCCGGGCTGGCGACGCACACCGTAGGCCTTGTGCGAGAGGCAGGAACAGGTCGGACCGGGCTGGAGACGCGCACCGTCCATTTGGTGCGAGGGGCCGTAACAGGCCGGACCGTACTGGGGACACACACCACTGGCTCTACCCCGGGAACTGGAACGGGCCGGACCGGACTGGCAACACTCCCCAGTACCTCTCGCCGTGCCTCCAAACCTCCTTTCCCTTCTTTAACCAGTAGCCCCCGTAACCTGGTGGCCTTTTGTATTCGCCCCTTCTCTGCCTCCGTCAGCCCCGTCGTCCATGCCCTGTGCCCCCCCCTAAAAAATATTGGGGGTGCCTCTCGCCTTGCCTCCGTGCTGCCTCCTCATATCGCCTCCTCTCGGCTTTAGCTGCCTCCAGCTCTTCACGAGGGCGGCGAACTTCTCCCGGTTGTGCCCAAGGACCCTTTCCATCCAGTATCTCCTCCCATGTCCATGAATCCTGTGTAGGTGGGTCCTGTTGCCGCTTGACACGCCGCTTGGTCCTAGATTGGTGGGTAATTCTGTCACGATCGTCAAGCATAGAGGAGGACCAAGGCGCAGCGTGTGCAAAATACATCTCTTTAATATTGGAAGAGAGAAAAACACGAAACCGAACACTATCCAAAACTTACAAAACAACAAACGACCGTGAAGCTAAATAACGTAAGTGCACAGATAAGCAACAAACGTTCAACATAGACAATTACCCACAAACATATGATGCCCATGGCTGCCTTAAATATGGCTCCCAATTAGAGACAATAAACCACAGCTGTCTCCAATTGAGAACCAATCTAGGCAGCCATCAACATACAAACACCTAGACCAGACATACCCCATAAACTTACAAACCCCTAGACAAACCAAAACACATACTACACCATGTCACACCCTGACCTAACTAAAATATAAATGAAACAAAGATAACTAAGGCCAGGATGTGACAGACACACATACTCATTCAAGGGTTTTGCTTTATTTTTACTATTTTCTACATTGTAGAATAATAGTGAAGACATCAAAACTATGAAATAACACATATGTAAGCAGGTAGCTTAGTGGTTAAGAGCGTTGTGCCAGTAACCGAAAGGTCGCTGGTTCTAATCCCCGAGCCAACTAGGTGAAAAATCTGTCGATGTGCCCTTGAGCAAGGCACTTAACCCTAATTGCTCCTGTAAGTCGCTCTGGATAAGAGCGTCTGCTAAATGACTTAAATGTAAATGTAATCATGTAGTAACCAGAAAGTGTTAAACAAATCAAAATATATGTTATATTTTAGATTCTTCAAAGTAGCCACCCTTTGCCTTGATGACAGCTTTGCACACTCTTGGCATTCTCTCAACTAGCTTCACTTGGAATGCTTTTCCAACAGTCTTGAAGGAGTTCTCACATATGCTAAGCACTTGTTGGCTGCTTTT